CCATGTACGAGAATAAACCTGAAAAAAAAACTTGACCTATGAGAGGTCAAGTAGGCTAAAAGAAATGAAACCATGTGAAGATATGAATAATATGAAGTAATTGAAGAATAAGAATAATTGAAGAAAAATAATATGGAGTATTATTGAAGAATAAATAATAGATTTAATTCACTGTGATAGGTAATTAAGCGGTATCCACACCAATAATAATTTAAATCGATCTAATATCGATACAAAATCATTTTCTTTCCCGAGAAAATTTATGAAAGCCAGGTTACACGCGGCAATAGCTAATAAATCATCCTTTCAACTCAAAACTAGGCTTATGAACGGAAATTTGGCCACAAACACAAAAGCATATTAGCTACTTATGTGTTTGGTTTTTGAAAAACACATGTAAATTAAACATCTAGCTTTATCTATTCTCATTTTTTAGCTTTTATAATTTATTAAGATTACGAAGATTGGTAGCGACGGTTTTATCAGACCTATGCTATGCAGGCGCTGTAGCCTCATAAACACGACGCGATATCCATTCCGCTGAGAATTTATGCCCGTTGCATACGAGTAGGAAAAACACGTTGAAATAAACCACCAACAACGTAATAACGTCAAAATTCCTGTATTTTTATACTCCATACAACCACGTCCTTCGTCTTCAGAAATTTTATTTAAAATGGAAACGCCAACATCACAGAAGCGCCTTTAACTCGATCGAATGTAGGTACATGACTTAGGAAATTAAATTGAGAAAGCGCAGATCCTCTGAAGTCAAAAGTTTATATTATAGCAACACGGCAAACTTGAAAAAAAAAACTTTTCTCAAATTTAGTAATAACAAGACACCCAAGAAATTTTTTTTTTTGAAAATTGGTTATCTCATAGATTGGTAATGAAGCGCAACAGAATTAATTATACCAGATCGGTTGAAATATTATACGTAACGTAATTACTGAAGCACGTGGAATGTGCAGGCAACAAAACATAAAATGATACTTCCAGCCTGCAAGTAAGTACCGTTAACCCATGTAAATATAAAGAATACTGATTGAAGTGCGTAAAAAAATGCGCTCACTTGTCCACAAAAAAAAAAATCTGTTTGGAGCGCGTTAAATTTTGCAGTTTGCCAGTAAGTAAAGATACTATTTAAATGCGTAAAATGGTGCTGTTGGCCTGTGCGTAGTGCTTGAAATGCATAAAATGTTGCCGTTTATCCTATACGAAATAATGTAAGAAGAGTTCGTAAATTTACCGGCGTAAGAGCAGCTCAAGGCTTGATCGCATCGACGTAACTGCGGTCAGAGTTCGAGAAGAGCGATCTACGCTACAGATCACGCACCGTGCTTGCATCGTAAAACGGAAACTGAAACGACGTTCGTTGCACTTTAAAGACCAATTTTGTGACTTTATGACATCAGGGAAATTCTAAAAGAAACGCGGAAAAACCAACAGGGCCTCCAGCAAACTAAAGCAACGAACGACAATGGAAACTGCTCTATTATGTGTGCATTTGCGAAGAAATTGCTCTGTTTTGCAAGTGAACGAATGGGCATTTCAGGGCCAGTGCAGAAGAAAAAAATTTTGTGGTCACGAGTAATTGAAAGCATAAATTAACTCCTTTGTGAATGAAGTAATATAACAATAAATACTAGTTTATTCTTGCAAACGAATGTAAACACATGAATGACCGAAGTTGCAAAAATTTCTCGTATTTAGAATAGATTAGATTCGGGTTTTAACCATCGGACAAATCCACTCAGTACTCATTGCAGTGAGTGACAGAGAGCACATTTTCTCGTCGACGAAAACGTTAAGTAACGGACGGACTGACAGACGGGCAGACGGTCGGACGGACATGGCGAGTACAATAGCGTCCTTTTTTCCATATATATGGGAAAACGTGCTAAAAATGTTGGAAATCAATGCGACTGGTTATAACTAACAAAATGAGAGTCAAGTTTTTTCCGAAATATCTTGAGCGAAAAAGTAATCAGTACCTTAATAAACTCTTTATCTTCTAATTGAACAGAGAGAAAATTTACGCTCACGATTATTTTATTTTATTATCTCTATACAAACAATTATGCTGCACCAGCTTACGCATGCAGTAGTTTTAATTGGTTGATGATATCAATTTCTGTTTTTGCTGATTGCTGTTTAAACAAAGTTTTACTAATTTAAATTCATTGAAGTACATTCAAATTTTTATTATTTTAAATTATGCTCAAGGCCCTGAATGCATTTACATATGCTTATTATTTTCAAGAAAACCTGAAAATCTACAATGACCGGAAATGTTTGGTTCTACTTTATAAATCCCCATAAATTTTTTTCATTATATTGATTTACGAAGGCAAGCTAATATTGTGTTGAGCGTTCGTTTTTCACAACTAACCACCCATTCATAATAATTAAGCAATGCTCAGTTCAAAGAACATTTAGCCGCAAACAAACTTGCCTCAATTGAATTAATTTTTAAAACAAACGAAAATCACAAGTGTATAAAAATAACACGTGTTCATGATAGAAAAACACGCACAACTTTAAGAAGGAGCCATGTGGTAGATTGCTTCAGTGATCCTGAGATCCACGACGATAGAGTGTTCCATTGCGATAAGACTATATAGTACCTATCCGCAGCTCGAACAACCTAGCGAACCTATCAAGATATTCACTTGCTCTTCTATTCTGATAGTCTGGTCCTAGTGTCAGCCCGCACCACGACGACATTCACTCTACTCTAATAATCTGCTAGACTAGTGTCAGACCGCAGCTCTAAAAATTTCATTAACTCTTGTAGTCTGAGCGTAACGTGTGAGAGTATTTGCGATTAATACGAAGGCTTAAATTACGAATACTAACATACTAATAAACATAAAACATACTGATAAACATTAAATTACATACTGATATTTCAGTCAGTCCCGTCAAATGTCAAGAAATAAGAAATTAAATATAGCGTAGTACTGAACACTCATCAAAGGCAATATTGTGACGGTCTATCACGGCATAATGTCATGTCATACTGTCATGATTAATCATGACGGCACGGCATAATGTCATGTCATACTGTCATGATTAATCATGACGGCACGGCATAATGTCATGGCATACTGTCATGATTAATCATGACGGCACGGCATAATGTCATGGCATACTGTCCTCATTAATCATGACGTCATAGATTACTGTCCAACTCAATCATAACGATAAGAAAATGTGTATTCGCGAAATACTATTGTTTATTTATTTTATAATTTAATACAGCGAATTAGCTGTTGTGTAATTTCAAAATAAACAGGGATGAAATTCAGGCTTCTACATTCTCCAGAGCTCGGAAAAAAATCAAGGAACAAGTTGAGGATTGGCCATTTTTACAAACGAAACATGGTAACTAAACTTAAGTAAATCTTTGAAAATAATGAGAGTTCGTTAGCCAAAACTTCCGCGACTGAAACTCCAAATTTATTGAAATACTCTCGAATTGACAGAAAAATTGTAGAGGAAATATAATAAAGTCCACGTGTACAAAGCTAAATCAGAGGTATCATTACAGCAACAAATGTCAAAATGGTTGCAGAAGTGATGTTTAAACCCCCCCAAAAATAATATTTCAGAGAATAGTCACATTAAATTTCCTATTCAGAGGTGTGCTGTTGTAAAAACTTCAAGTTTTATTCGTGATAATGTATCCGACTGTAAAAAACACTAGCAAAATGGAGCTTATTGTTCCAACGAAACGAAAAGTTCTACTATAAGAATGCCTTCATCCAATTAAAACTAACATTAATAGCACCGTTAGAAACTTTCCTTATTTCAACGTCAACCCACGAAATAACAGTGACCCCTTCGATGGAAAAAAAATTAATTTCGTGAACAATAAATATACACTTCATAGCCTAAGGACTGAAGTAAATTATACTGCTTCACAACTTTCTAATAATACTTACATTAAAATTACAATTCATCAAGCGAAGAAAGGAAAATAAAAAGGCATAAACTTAACCTGTTTCTAATCTATTGAAGAATGGTCTGATTTTCCATGCTGAGTGAATGGTGAAAGGGAAAAATGGACGGAACTATTTCAGTTTCAAAAGCCTATGCCGTGGCAAAGACTTGAAGAGAAACCAGGTGAAAAAATAATTCTTTAAAAATACCGTAGAGCTATAGTCGCGATGAGTTTGTGTTTGTTAAGTGCAATAATGACTAATTCATTACCGTTAATAATTTAATGCCTCTAACTTTAAACTTTTCCCCCAACTTGGGTCACAGTTGAAACAAAAGCCTGAGCCGAAACAAAGCCAGCCTCGTACGTGATAATTAATATTAAGGCTTCGTTTATAAAGCTTAAATGCAAGGATCTCAGACCAGCACGGCAAATTCATTAAGAACGAAGCCCTCGTGACCCTCATCAAAAGCGAGGGCTGAGAGAGGGAGGCAACTAATTACTTGAATTGTGAGGGGAAAAAATTCCATTGGCATGCAAAAAAATTATAAATAGGAACTAATACCATTTCATAACGAGGCTCTTAAAGTTACCTCATCTTAGCTTCATTTTTAAATGAGTTTCAATAACACAGATAGAACTTTTATCCGTTCGATTAATAGGAAACTGAACCAATAAAAAAATTTTACAACGCTGTTTTCAGCATGCTAGAACAGGACAAAATAAAATCTTCAACGTGCATAATAAAATCGTAATCTTAAAAAAAATGTAGAATGCCGCGGAACAAAAGATTACCACATAGCAATAATTTTTAAGCACAGTTTCGTACAATTGTTGGAAAGATTTATGGATGACAATTGTTCAGTGAATTTATTTGATATTCATATCATTATTAAGTTATGAAACTATCACGCATAAAAATTCTATTTTGTGAAGAGTCAGTTATATTTATTTAATTTAATTTTCTACAGATTTACCAGGCAAGAATCTCGTTGAATAAAAGAACATGTTTTAAAACATTGCGGCGAATCAGACTAAATTATTGAGCACTTACCTTGAGTTTATGGATCTCGCGCTTGAGCTGCGACACTTCATCATGCTTGGTTTTGAGCTCCCATTTGATATTGTTGATAATTGACTGCTGCTCGTCTATCTTGCAGTCATCTTCTTTCTTTTGTTGCTTAAGCTCCTTGACCTTCTCTTTGAGATACAAGTAATCGGGTGGGTACACCGACCCCTGCGGTAGTTTGTTGCTGCCTAGAGGCATGTTGATCTTGCCAGGGCTCTTGTCGCTCTTGCTATGACTGGACGTGGCAGAGGTGCCGTTGCCCATAGTTTTGTACGGGGTATCTACGCCAGGCCGTGAACCGGCCGTGCTAGCTAAGGGAGGCAGCTTTGACCCATGGGGCATGCTACCTTGCATGTCATCGCAATGCCATGCTGCAGCAGCACTGCTTCCTAACTCACTACCATCAACATATCCATCAACATCGCATGACGTGACACTGGTATCACTAACAGCGCTGCCTGACACACCTAACTTCACGACACTTGAACACACACTGACACTTTCGGCAGCGGGCACGGTCGGTTCCGACACAGCGGGGCTACGCTGAGGCTCGCAGACGGAAGACGATACGTCTCGCTCGAGGATCTGAGACAGACTGACTGGCCCAGAGCTTGGTTCCGAAGGGTTTTGCATGCCCACCGAAGAAGACATACTAATGTAATTGCCAGCTTCGCGTTTGTTCGATTTAGTAGCGCGCTCTGTGCTGGAAGATGAAGTCACTGAGCTTCCCGTCACGGGCGAGAAAACAAACTCCGAGCCTTGGTCTTCATCGTCGCTGTTAGACGAAGCTCTTGATTTAAGAAGCTGACTCATTTCTTTCAGGCCTTCAGGGCGCCTCCCATTCATCTGCAATAAAGATAATTACATTAGTTCCTCGTGAATAATCTTAAGCACGTGTTATTAACATCATTCTATGTCATCATTAACATCATTAATTGTCTAGGAAAATAAATCTATGCTAACGTAGATGTAATTATAATACAGTATTAAATACTGTAAAATTATACTCCTAAAATCAAATGGTAATCTTTTAAAATCTATGTACGTTATACATGTAATTATAATTTAGTGATAAATAAAAAAAATAAAATCCTCATATCAAGCATTAATCTTTCAAATTCATGAAGAGTCCACACATATTTCTCGAAACATCTTTGTAACCGAAAGAAGCGCAATTACTTTCACCCTAAAATTAAAGGAAAATTTTTAATTCGCAAAACTTAGCAGCCAAAATAATGGGCAAAGTGTCACAGTTTAACTGAAACTAACATAAAAGGATTAAATTGCAAGAAGTCACGCGTAATCAGTGGCAACGAACGGCTCGCGTTTTTGTCTACAATGTTTTGTCGACGTTTGTTTAAAGTCTACGGATTATAGGATGAAATTTTAAGTTATTCCCTTGTCCACCTATTAGCAATCAGCATCTCCCGCGGAATAGAAGTCTTTGAATAATTTAATTCAAATTTAATTTTGTAGCTAATAATAACATGTTTATAATTTAGTAGAATAATTTATTCGTGATGGATGCTTTTAATAAGTTATAATTATCGAATAATGTTCGACAAATCTATGTACGGTATCAGTGCCGACGACAATAAAAGTTTACCTCTGAATTAATTTCAGACGATTTAATATCATAAAGAAATATGTAAGCTATGACATGATATACTAGCAAAACACAATAGTTACTCAGTATACGGAAGATCACACTGTGAAAAATGAATGTGGCATAATGTCCCAATATTGACACTATTTTACAACGAACGTAGCCCTGATACGCACTTTTGCCTATCCAAACTGGGTCAGGTTGACACACCCAAGAGCATACCGTACATCGCTATTTGGGCAACGTCCCACTCATCTCTCTGCGTGCAGGGCACATGCAGTAACGAAGACAAAAGTTGAGCTTTGTTGCACCGTAGCGCCAAATCATTGCAAAGTAGTCGATTTAAAGCGTACAAATTCGTAGCAAATCCATGCAATATTTCAAGGCATCTAATAAAAGCCAGAGAACTAATGTAATAACTAGAAACTATCTCTTATTTCGGTGCAAATCCATACAATATTTTAAGACATCTAATGAAAGCCAGAGATCTAACATAATAACTAGAAACTATTTTTTGTTAAAACAAAGTGCCGCGCGTCAAGCGAATGCGGGGACCAAATGGTCAAAGGCAGTGATCAACAAGTCGGGTATATATAGGCAAGAGAGAACAGAATGAACAGAACAATATGAACAGTGCAATCACAACAGCATAATATGAATAAAACAATGGAAATTAAATAATATAAATAGCGCAATGAGAACTGGTCAATACGAACATCGACAACAACACTATTTAAAATAGAATTCAGAACATAAATTCAACACGGAACAATACGAACAAAACAATTCAGTCGCTCTGCACGCCATTGAACACAAGCGCTGAATATGCGCGACACATAACTGTATTGCACCACAGAGGCATGCAGGCATTCAAGAGGTATTGAATTATTAATGGAGCATGGAACCAATTATGAGGAATGAAGGCATTGATTAGGCACACAGCCATTTATGTGGTATGCAATAATATATGAGCCAGGAGGCAATTGATGGAACATGAAGGCATTCATGCAGCAAGTTGACCGCTTTGATTGTACAAAACAAAACAAAAAGATCCGGTGGCAGATAGAGTCGAGGAACTTGATATTTTCACTCGCGCTAAGGTCTTTTCTTTCGTAAACGAACATTCATAATTTTTCAATCAAAGTGCACGTTAGGTCATGTTTGAATTTACCGCTACCTACTAACTTTGCGATCAATAGCCTGAACAGATTACGTGAAATATTTGCTTCCTCGAAATTTTTTTCACATTTCACGATTAATTTGGATTCAAAATATCGAAACTGTGCCCGAAATTTTCGAACGAAAGGGGTTTTATTTTATATATTAAAGGACGGAACTGAAACGAGCGTAGTCATGCTACCAGCTATTTGCTTATCTGTCGCGACTTTCGCGCACAATTTTAAAGGCCCAAATTCCAAAATTTGAGATCGTCGCATTCCAGCATTGACTTCAAACAAAAATGACAAGTGATAACTCGTGGGTGCGAATTACGAAGCTAAAAATTTCGCCAACGATGGAGGCATCGCATCAGACCGCCAGGAACAGCAGCGATCGGTCGAGGAGCTTGACGACACCGACAACTGTCCAGCACACCAGTGAGAACGAAGCATGGGCTTAGTAATCGCCCTAACAGAATTTGGAGTCTCGGTAGCTGCTAACACCTGCGGCCTATTAAATAGCTGACCAGCCAACCCTAGATCATGAAACCGTGGAGCAGTTCGCACGAGGAACGGATTACTTGCGAAAATGTTCAGACGCAACACTTCGAGCTTGCTAACGTCACCCTGAGATGAACTCGCTCAAGCTGTTCGACAGTACGCTGAAAAGTGTCGACGCAGCTATTAATAGATCTTTGAAAATGGCTCTCAACGCTGCACGTGAAGGATTGGAACTGGCCGAAAGACACAAAATGATCAAAGAGTGGGAATAGCTTCTGAAATAACGTTAATAAAGTTAGTAAGCTATTGAAAACCAAAAGCAATAGCGGCAACAAGTGCAGTAGCATCATGAAGATCTGTAGCCACAGATGCAATGGATGTCGTCGATGGAGGAAACTATCATGAAGCTCTTCGACCTCCTGACCGCGACACCACCTGGGATCGAGCTTAGGTCCTTGACAGATGTGATGACAGACATCGCCACCTACGTGAAGCTAGAAAAGGATCGTTGCGATGGGCAATACACATTTGAGAGTTCTACCGATTTGCATGGAAGGCCTTAGTCCCCAACGAACATCATTCCAGGACAAGAAGAATACTTCCCACACCATGGACCAGGCGTGTAGCAATACCCTACTCGACAGGCTCGAGGTCCTGAGTACCCACATCCTACGATGAGTCCAGCTGCCGGCGCCCAGAGTCCTATCCAAGGTTATCAGAGCCCCCAAGAATGGTCAGCGTAAATGGAAGGCATGTACAACGAGATGAAGCAGTCATATGATGGAGCTAATCGTTAGCAAGCCCTGAGATAAGCTTAGCCTGTACTCATGTAAAAGGGCGCTCAACAGCTGGACGAGATGAGAACGGATCCAAGCTACCGAAGGAAGGGCTATTGATTACCGATGCGAATGATCTTCTGTTACAAAGCTCTTCAAAATTTATTGTGTTATGCTTCTTAATCAAAATATAACTGGATGATTGATTACCAAGTTTTCTATTTCAAGAATTCCGTGGGAGAAGTGTCTCCTTAACAACATAAGTTCTGGAGCTGATAGGGTTGATAAAAAATTTTCGAAATGATTATACTGTGATTCAACACGAGCTATGAAAGTGTAATAAGTATTATGAAATATTGATAATTGCTTTTGAAGTGGTTTACTTTTCCCTAATAAAAAATGTGTAATAAGAATTACGTGGATGCTGAGACTTCTCACAAAAAAAGTATTACCGATTGCAAGATTGGTAACTGAAAAATTAAAAAAAACGTCCTAAATAACATATAATTTTCGTTTCAAATGTTTATTTTAATCAGTGAAAATAAAATTTTGGAAAGGAGTAGCAAGCAATTATGCTAGTTGAATCTCATAGCAGTTTATTATTAGAAGCCATGTAAGTCACGTGTGGAATATTTTCAATCTTTTTCTCCATTCTCTCATGATTTTTCTCGTTAAACCCGTGATTTTAGATAAATTTTGTCGAGGAGTGATACAAGATTGAAGTAATTTTGCTTCGCTTAATAATTATATAATTAATTCAGCAATTAAGGGCTAGCCGCTAAAGGAAGTTCGGGATGTTCGTTGTCCCGCAGGCCCGTGTTCCAGGGCCTATACTCTCAAAAAAAGGTAAGAGATCGTAAGTTTATCAGTCAATCATCGACGGCCTTTCAAGTAAAATCCACCAATCGCAGACAAGAAAATAGTGCGTAAGTACTTACGTTCACTTAGCGAGTTTTGAAAGTATGGCCCAAGATCAGCACAATGAGAACAACGCAACTAAGAACACTAAGAACAGCGCCCCCCATGGCTTGCCTGCATCACGGAGCGCCCTACAGCTCCTTATCTCGAGGCGTCCAGTCGCTCTGCGCGACATTGTACACGAGCGCTTAATATGCGCAACTAAAAACTGCATTGCAACATAAAGGCATGCAGGTATTCATGAGGCATGCAAGTATTTATGAGGCATGCAGATATTTATGAGGCATGCAGGTATTAATGAGGCATGCAGGTATTTATGAGGCATGCGGGTATTTATGAAGCATGCAGGTATTTATGAGGCATGCAGGTATTTATGAGACATAATGAGGCATGCAGGTATTTATGAGGCATGCAGGTATTTATGAGGCATGCAGGTATTTATGAGGCATGCAGGTATTTATGAGGCATTCAGGCACTTATGAGGCATGCAAGCACTTATGAGGCATGCAGGCACTTATGAGGCATGCAAGCACTTATGAGGCATAGATGTATTTCCGCACATGGAGCCAATCATGAGGCATGCAGGCCTTAATGAGACAAGAAGCAATTAAGGCTTTATGGACTTCCGACACGGCACTTAATAAACTACAATCCGTAATGAATGCCGCTGCTCGACTTGTGTGCAATAAGCGAAAATTCGACCACGTGACGCCGATATTGCGCGATCTTCACTGGCTGCGCATGCAGCAGAGCACGCAGTTCAAGGTCACTGTTCCGACATTCCGATGCCTTCACGGTCTGGCGCCTCCTTATCTCACAGAATGTCTGCAGCTCGTGTCGGATCTGCCTTCTAGAAGACGATTGCGCTTGTCATCAACAGCGGACCTC